TGTAGCGTGGGTAGTCCTCTGGGATTGATCGGGGAGTTCGGTTCGGGCACGGCTGCTGTTCGCAACAGTAGATGATAGTCTCAGGGCCGTCTGGGATGTAGACGTCGATAAGGTCCTGAGAGTCGAATGCATGAACTTGGCCTTGGCAGGCAGCCACGTTGGATGGGGGGAGGAAGGGGAGGTGCGCATACTAAAAATGGCCGTACTACACTAGCTTACGCTACGGCGCCCGAGAAGACCCTGAGGTTCGCAGTTCACGTGGGGCCCAGTACTGCTTTTGGCTAGTATGCAGCAGGAACCTAGTCCACGCGTCCGTGAGGACAAGTACCGCCCACTGAAGTGCAGGTACTGAAGAGTTCGTTCCCTAAGTGGTGGCGATGTATGTACGCTATCTACGTATCGTAATGTACCGTAGGGGTGCGCACCACCCGACCTGTGGGAAAGGAAAGTGAATATAAGGGGTCCCGAGAGGATGCCGGCAGCTTGGGGAGTTTCGACCTAATGTCACGACTTGAGGTCAAGCGACTAGAGAAAACCTGAAGGCTGGGGGCGTCCGACTAAGTCTCACCGAAGCGATGGTGAGCTATGCTCAAACCTAAGGCTAGGGACAAGTAAGTTAGTATTGAATAAGTAAGTAAGTACAGGGGCTTACTGACCTAGGGACAAGAGGTCGAAACTGAGGTCCCTAGGGCAGCAGAGGCAGGTTTATATACAGGGGAAGTTTAGGGGAGGCTGTGCGCGCTGGTCAGTGCGCAGCTGGTCCGTGCACAGCATGCCGACGCGGCCCCGGGGGCCGGTGAGTCAGAGCGGCTGTGTCAGCGGAGCCCGAGCTGTGCCGCGCACTGCCGTCCTATCTAATCTGATCGTACAGTAGATAACGACGTGTCCATATCAGGCAGGTAGTACAGAGGTCGCGGGTTCGAGCCCATGAAAGGGAAAAAATTAAAAAACGGCTAGACGCCGTACCAACTCGTGACAGTCGCAACAGAATGTTGATTGCCTGAACAGGCTTCATTACTCTCGCCTGGTCACGGTTCCCTGGCCCCCGGGTCCTCACAAATAAATCATGGCAGAAACATTACAAATCATGTTTATTTTCTCGTAATTATATAGGTACTAACTACTATTACAGGTGCGCCAGTCTACAGGTTCTCGCCTGATCCAGCTGCCTGATCCTGTAGACATCGAGCCGCAAGCTGGGCTCCTGAGGCTGGCCGCTGGTGCTACCGCTGTCTCAATGTTCTGCCTCAATGTGACATCAGCAGGACATTCAAGTCACAGAGAGTATGAAACTTACTTGTTTTACCACTCGAGCAGTTTGGCCTTGTGTTGAGTTATGCAAATTTGCAACCTGTAAATCACACTATGTGAGTGCAAGATTATAAGCATGATAAAACACAGCTGGAAAGAGGGATCTGAAAAGGCTGTAACTTACCAACTTAAAGAGCAAAATTGAATGGGATATTTGAGGTCCTCAGGCTGGCGAGGACTGTACTGTACTCATATGCACTCAGATGCGCTCTCTTATCTTCAGTTGGCAAAGGAAAATTTAAATAACATGTGTCTGGCTCACCAATAATCATGAGCCTCGCCATTCAGCGACTCACTGAATATAGCTGCTGACAGACAAACTGGCTATAAGCAAAATACAAATTTGCCTTGTATCCAGACCCACCATATCCATGCCCCAACACTGCGAAATGGGATATGCATACTGTGGGTCTGGGTGCGAGACAAATACCATATGGCTGCGTGCGTGATGGGCGTAGTCATTGTATCATCGTAACAGTTGAGATCCGGCCAGCAATTCATCATTCTAATGGTCCAACGGCACACTCGAAGACTCACCTAGTACTCTACACCACATTTCCTCAAGTCGCAGCTATGAAGACATGAGTGTATTTAGCACACCTAGCAGACTGCGCCCCGCGCGAGTCTGTTGATGCCAGCGCTAGCGCTCGCTCGAACATCTAGATGACGACATAGACTTAAACGAGCTCAGACCCTGAGGATGACGAGTAGTCAGGACACAGAGGACGAAACAATGTACTAAATATGCAAATGTAATGACTTTTGAAGCCTAATTGTCTATACGATCGGTCAAGCGCACCCTTACATCGCATCCGTTGTTGCATTTGTCAGCATGCAGTGTCGGAATCCATACGATACGCAATGTGATTGGAATTAGAATATTTATATCGCTTTATTTAAGATACATACCAAGCCTTAGCAGACTATCACAATATCTGGGCATTCATATAATCAAGCAAAATTATGACGACGTGTCTGCAATCCATTATCAGACGCATACCATTCTGGCTCTAAGTTGCACATGCATCGCGTGAATGTTGACTACTTCATAATCATGTCCCATAATTAGACAGGCGTGTAATTACATATCAGCAAATAACAAGCATGGACAATCATGATGAATACTCATAACTAATATATTGTATTACACGCCGAACCTGGTTTTGCTGATGGCCGCCCGCCACCTGCAGCTGCATACACGGACGTCGGAAGGGCTCTGGCCAGGCAGGAATGCTCGGTAAGTCTTCCGGACGCTGATGCATGAACCTCATGATACAGAGGTCATGCTTGGTCCCCAGCGGCTAGCACAAATGAAATAGGCGAAGCCAGAGCCACGGAACTTGGTGAAACCTCCCCTGCCATTGTTCATCTGTGAGCATGTGTATCCTCTCATCACGCGGGGCAGCGGCTGATCTATACATTTGCCTCAGTCATGTTCTGTTTTGAGCGGTTGATGCTTGCGCGAGTCTCTGTATGGGTCGAGCGACTATCAGCCAGCCACCAGAACGGTGCATGCAGTAGGTGTCGAAACAAGGTTGGCGGTCTGCCATGTGACGATCCGCCACGAAGACTTCAGGCTTGCTGAACGCGTCGCTGTCGTTCAGACTATACGACCGGAGACCCGGGCTTTTCTTGGCATCCTCAGAGTGGGTGGCACGAGGTGCTCTCATAGAGACTTTCTAGTACTTGCAGCTTCCGGAGGTTTTTTGAGGCGTTATGCTGCATCAGGCCGTACATGCCACATTTAACGCCAAATGCCGGATGGAGCGCTTGATGAAACCTACTTACTGGTATACTAGCCCAGGCACGGCGACATGTGCTTCCTGAACCACTTGACGATCTGCATTCTTTATTCGAAGGCTCCCCATCAACCATTAGCATGCCTTACCGCCCGATAGAGGCATCAGCCCGCCGTTTCAACAGCCCTGCATCCGGGATTATGTCCTTGTGAACGGTTCGCGTCCCACGGAAGCACGGACCACGCTGTGGAGATTCCTATTTGTCGTATGTGGGTCAACTGATGAGTGCACCATGGGAGGCGATGGCGAGATACCGTACGTCCTGTCCTGTACACTTACGTCGGTGACGCTTACTTTTTCCGGAGGTTCTCACCTGGAGACATAACCTGGGCTCTGCAGACGAGTCCCGGGCATTTTCGTGCTGTCGTGTAGACAACGGGCTCCACTATACGGATATGCGTTTGACTTCTGGGAGCTAGGTCCGCGTCCTCATGGTCTTGTAGTACGTTTTAGCAGAAGCAGGGTTGCTCGTCTTCGGACTCCCATAGACCATCATGATTCGGGCCACGGAGGCAAAACTCCCTCCGAACGGGCAGCTCCACGCGACCCGTTCCTGGGCGTAACGAAGCGTTACTGTATCCGAGGTCTTTCCGCTTTCATGACGTCCATCGATGCACATTGCTTATAGACGGAGCTGCACTTTGTGCCTTTACTCGTGGTGTCTCTTTACACGATCTCATGCATCGCTGATTGTGGCATTCGATCGGAACAGGCAGGGGTAGGCTCCCGCCGTAGGCCGTGCGTCCACGCGGTCCCGATGTGTCGTGGGCGTCGCGGATGTGATGTGTGTCGACGCAACATCGGTCCTGGATGGCGCCGGGACATGCAGCGCATTAATGTGACCGACTCCAGTGTCCCAACGCAAATTTGTAGAACATTAGCTACCGGCATGCCAAGGAATACGCCCCACTTCGGAAGCGGCATCGTCATTGGAGGCAGGGTTGCGTGCCTCCCACAGCCTGGAAACCCGAATGCGGCGGAGGTTTTTAGGGGGCCTTCTGTAGCGCAGCTGCGTATCATATCAAACAGTGAGCTACTTTCTAACTGATGCTTCGACGTGAGCCGATAACGGGCGTTGTGTCACCTCGAACGGATGCTTGCAGCATGTATCACCGTGGAACTGCGATTACGCGCGAACAGCGCGTTGGCGCATTGATTATGGTATCGCGCCGAACAGCAGTGTTCATAGATGGTGTGTTATTTTCGTCTCATCCTGGCCAATCTCAAAAGCAGGATCGAGGGGACCATCCTCTGCAAGACTTCCCCCGGCTCCTTGTGCGTTGCGCGGCTACGAACCCTTGGCAAGCCATACTTGGTGAGCGCGGGCTTCCTTCTTCCCATTCCCGGACGCGCGTGTACGCCAGGCACGTGAGCGATAGACGCGTTCCTGTTCTGCGCCTGCCCAACAGGCCTCACATTTGTGGGAGCGTTTCGCGGAGGCTCTTGTCTTCTGCTGCTATCATGGGGCCAACGTTGTGCAGCTCCATAAGCCATCTTGTCGCGTGTCGCTTGTCCGATGGTGCTCGGACGCAGGCGCCTGCAGCCCCATGTGTTGATATGGCGCACGCCGGCATATTGGTCGTGGGCGGCGAGCGACATGCTCGGTGCTATTCGTTCTATACATATCATGCGATCGTGTCAAGCAAGCACTTTCTCTGTGCCTTCATCACCGGTCTAAATGGAAATACGGCACGTCGCCGCAGAATGTCTCGTTTCTCGCGTCACGGACCGCAGACTAAGTTCCATGCCTGTCCCCGCTGCGTCACATATATATGTGTCGCCATGCACACCGGTTGCCCCAACCCTGAGCCGTCTGCGCTTTCACTGACCTTTCCGCGCACAGAGCACAGACACACGCTCGAGGGTCGACCATGTTCCTCCGTTCCGTGTTACTCGCCGCGTGCGCATCGCTGGTGACGAGTGTCGTTGGGCTCGGCTCCCAGTGCACCGCACCGCTGGGTGCGGGAAACTCCACTGCAAGCGACCCTTTCTGGCTGCAAGACATCGCGCACCAGGGAACAGCTCCCTACAGTTCCGACCCATCCTCGTATGCAGTGTTCCGCAACGTGAAGGATTACGGAGCGACGGGCGATGGTACCACGGATGACACCGATGCTATCAAGTAAGATCCATGGTTCTGGGTTGTTCGAGATCCTGATCTCCATCGTCTAGTGCGGCCATCTCAGATGGCAGTAGATGCGGAGATGGTTGCGGCTCCTCTACGTAAGGCTGTCAACAATTTGTCAAAATCAACAACACTGACTATATGCGGCTAGTACGACCCCTGCAGTTGTTTTCTTCCCCCAAGGGTATGTGTTATTGATCCCCGTACAACTGCACCAGTATAGTTGAGCTTTTGCCGTGTTACCAGAACCTACGTCGTCTCAGCTCCGATCATTGCATATTACTACACGGTTCTCGTTGGGGATGCCAAGGTACCACCTACACTCTTAGCAAGTTCTGACTTCGATGGTTTGGCGGTCATTGGTAAGTGTAAGTTAGACTCAATAGCCAATACTGTCTCACCCGTGCGGAGAACAGATGCGGATCCCTACATTCCCAATGGGTACGGAGCCCAGTGGTATGTGAATCAGGACAACTTGTGAGTACCCTATTCTTGCACAAAGGCGCGCTTGCTCAACACCTCTCCCGCTAAGCTATCGCTCTGTTCGCAACTTTGTGATCGACCTCACGCAAATGTCTGCAACGTCGTCCGCAACAGGCCTTCATTGGCAGGTCTCGCAGTCCACTTCGCTGATCAACATCGTCGTTGAGATGAGCACCGCTTCCGGGAACAACCACAGAGGTCAGTGCCTACTGCCGTAGCACCTCGTAGGGTAGGCCTTTCTGATCATCTTGTTCTACATGTAGGTATCTTCATGGAGAACGGCAGTGGTGGTTTCATGGGAGGTTTGTCATGATACTGTTGATATCTTTGAGCACGGCCTTGATGGATTATGACAGATTTGGTGTTCAACGGCGGTCAGTATGGAATCGATGTGGGGAATCAACAGTGAGTACGGCGTGGCGCCGCATGGACATGACGTAAATGTTTTTCCAGGTTCACCGTGAGAAATCTGACCGTCAATAACGCCAACACGGGTGAGTGTCTCTGTCCAGTTCCTTGTGTGCTTGCCTAATACGGGACTCCTTCCCTGCATCAGCTGTAATTCAATCAAATTAAGTTTGCATAGTCGAGTATCACTAACGCCGTGCTCGTCTAGGTCTATGCGACCTGGAACTGGGGATGGACGTTCCAAGGCGAGCGTTCATTCAATACATATTGTCCTGGCATTGACAGATGAATACAGGAGTCGTAATAAACAGTTGCGAGGTTTGTCCGCGACTGCTTCTTTCGCTTCAGCTTATGAATGCTGCCTCGGTCAGACCGGCTTCTATTTGGTATCATCGACAGAGAGTGGCCAGGGTGTCGGGTCAGAAACAATCATCGACGCGACTGTCACCGATGTCACCACTTTCATCCAGACGGCTGAAGCCTCGAGTTCATTGAATGGTTCCATCGTTCTCAACAACATCGCGTTAACCAATGTTGGCACTGCTGTCGGAACTGCCAGCGGCGCATCGGTGGTATGTGTCCTGCGTACTCAGTCGTGCACGTCATCTAAATATCGGTTTCCTAGCTTGCAGGTGGCTCGTACACTATCGACAGCTGGGCGCAAGGTAACGTCTACTCCAACACGGATGCATCTGGCACCTTCGTCCAGAGCGATATCGGTTCCATTTCGAAGTCCTCGGATCTACTGGCCAGTAACGGCTGGATATTTGGAAAGACACATCCCCAATATGCCTCTTACTCGGCGAGCCAGTTCATAAGCGTCAGGTCGCAAGGCGCAACGGGCGACGGCAGCACTGATGACACGGCTGCCATCCAGGCCGTCTTCGACAACGCGAGTTTTTCTCCCTTGTCAGGGACTGTTTCCACCCGGCAATCAAGCTGACGCGAATTGTATTGCAGTATGCCGGATGCTATATCATCTACTTCGACGCGGGCGTGTATATTGTGTCTTCGACGATCACGATTCCGGCAGGCACACAAGTCGTCGGCGAGGCATGGACCACGATCATGGGTACCGGCAGCAACTTCGAGAACTATAACGATCCACAGGTCGTCGTGAGAGTCGGCGAAGAGGGCTCCACGGGTGTGGCGGAGATCACCGATATGATCTTCTCGACGCGGGGACCCAGTGAGTACCAAGCACCCCACCTGTGTCTTCCTGAAAGGCTCGCGGTCCGCTCATTGGCTTCGGAATGTCGCGTCCCGCAGCGGCTGGTGCTATCGTCGTTGAATGGAACGTACATGATCCGTCCGACGAACAGGGTGCTGCAGGCACTTGGGATACGTATATTATGTACGTGTGGTACCTGTTCTTCTAGCGTGCTTCCACTTATGGCGTTCTTCGTGCAGCCTCGGCGGCAGTAAGTGCTCCACAATTATAGATCTGTGGGATCGTGGAATGTGAACTCGCTATTATAGGAGATGGGACTGACCTGCAAGTCGCGGAGTGCCCCGCTCAGAACTCGAGCGACGGGACCCAGTGCTTTGCTGCCTTCATCGGCCTGCACATCACCTCGGGAGCCAGTGCCTATCTGGAGGTGCGTCGATCACCCCTATCTCAGTTTGGTTCCGCTGACTATCTCTTGCAGGGCCTCTGGGTTTGGCTGGCTGACCATGATTTGGATTCGTCAGGTGTGTACGGCGGCCGCTCTTTTGAGACATTTGCCAATCGGCATGCGTTGACTCGCTTGTAGACAGCGAGCAGCTCACTCTTTGGAGCGCTCGTGGTATATTGTCTGAATCACAAGGCCCGGTATGGATGATAGGAACTGGTGGGTTTCATAACTATACCTGTTGTCCTCGCCCTGTGCTGACACTTTGCAACAGCCAGTAAGCATAGGTTGACCAGGGAAGGTGGCGTCAGTGGACTTACCTCAGTCCGGCAGGTGAACACAGCATCATGTACCAGTACGGCTTGGTAGGAGCCGCGAACCACTACATGGGTTTCATTCAGACGGAGACGGTGAGTTAGGGTGGATGGTAGGATGGACGGCACCGGATGCTAACGATAAGGCAATAGCCATACTTCCAACCTAATCCCGGTCCGACTGCACCCTTCATTCCCAGTACCACGTATGGCGATCCAACTTCGTGGCCTCAGAACGCCGCATGGGCACTTTTTGTTTCAGACTCGTCGAACATCCTCATATTCGGTGCGTGCTGTCCCACCGACAGGCCCTCACGCGACTCACTCTCTTGATGTCGACTGCAGGAGCAGGACACTACAGCTTCTTCCAGGTAACAGCTCCACTTCCGGGTCGCTGGTCGCGAGGCTGACATGATGTGAAATAGAACTACGCCCAGACCTGCGATGCCAGCTACGACTGTCAATCACAGATCGCCGAGATCGACTCGAACTCGACCAATATTGCGATCTATGGGCTGAACACGGTGTACACGACGTACCAGCTCAGCGTCGACTACAACGGCATCATCAATTATGCGAACAATTTGAATGGCCTCGCGGAGACTGTCACCGCCTGGACGCTATAGTCAACTTGACTTGAAATGCGTCAAGCATCTCTTTCACGACGCGTCACGACGTTTCACGACCAGAATGTATTGATAACTGCTTGGGCGATCGCACTGATGATACCACCCGGAGTCTTCTTGTCAAATTATTGCAGCCAGATTCTTCCAGGCAACGTATGTACCAAAGCGAGTAGTAGACAAGTGGCGGGGAGAGTACCAAATGTGTACTGTATGTAGCGCATGGTGATTGATTCAGACTGGTGGTTTGTTCTCAGTTGGCGGCGGCTGGCACGATCATGGCGTGAAACGCGCGCGCGGCGCTGGCGATTGATGAGAGGTGTGCATCGTAGCACTGCAGAGGTGTGCATCGTAGCACTGCAGAGGTGTGCATCGTAGCACTGCAGAGGTGTGCATCGTAGCACTGCAGAGGTGTGCATCGTAGCACTGCAGAGAGGAGACTCTGGACACAGAGGTGGCCGCACTCGGAGCTGACATGATCAAAGCGGCTGATAACTAACGCACGGTCGGCTGGGGATTGGACTGCGCGGAGCATAGAGTCATTGGCTTCATAGCGGTTATCATCTCTGGGCGGTGTGGTCCCACCGCGTTCCACCCGCACGGTGGGGCTGGCGGTCATCGCGGTCGTGGCCACATCTTGGTCTGATTTGCCCGATGTGAACGCGGCGACTGCTCAGGAAGACGGGGTGCGAAGCGGGATGCATTTGCTCACAACAATGTAAGGTCCGGGTGCGAGTGGCCGTCTGTGGCAAGAAGAACAAGGAGCGCGCCGCCGGCAATCGAGGGCTCATCAGCAACCACTGGGCGTGGGAAAATCAACTTTCTTATAACGAACCGGAGCCAGAGTTTTCAGGTTGCAAGGGCCCCTCCTTCTCTTTGCTACCCGCATTCGTGCCTCTCCCGCCTGCGAGTTTCCTCGTCCAAATCTATGGTATTCCCCTCGCTACCAAGGTGCGTCGTGTTCGACGACGCCCACGTTTTACCCTCGTTCGCGGGCTGACTCCTCAGACACTCTGCAGCATAACACACCACCTCAACAAGATTCTCTTCGGATCGCTCGCATTCCCTCTCGTCGACACAGACAGGCCTCCTTAGGACCTCTTGCCCTACCGCAGACCTCGACAAGACTCTGCTAACGCTCTTCCATATGGGATAAATTCGTCTCCATCTCTCGGATCCAGGTCGCCTGCTCTGGTTCTACAGTCCACACTCTTCACAATACCCTACCGCTCCGTCCTATCAAACCTCGCAGCTCCGCTAGACACAACATTATACCATATTTAACTCATCACCCAACCAGCTGCCGCCGTCACCGCATACAACGATGTACAGCGCTCTTAAGGCGCCCTCGTTCTTGCGTCCTACCAGTCGCCCAGCTTCCCCAGTTCTCACTCCAGTCCAGGAGCCAGCAATGGTTCTCGACAGGACCCCGCGTCCCCTCTCCAAGTTGTCGTTGTCTAACTTCAGACGGTCCTCTCCATCTCCGGCTCCAGCGAGTGCCCTTATGACCGTGACTCAGGATGGCTCGTACACAGAAGTGCTGAGCCTCAAATTCAGCGAGGCCGTGTCCAAAGCCCTCGCGCAGCCTAGCGGGCCCGGCGCTCCGCATGAGCTCCTCAATGGCCGTCGGCCGATCCCCGCGGGACGCGGACGCGCTCTCGGCGCTCTGCTTGCCTCGTAAGTTTTCTTTCCAGTGGGCATATAGCAGCCGCTTCTGACAGCGCACACAGGGAAGTCAAGGCTTCGCGTGAGAATCCGCCTTTATACCGCGCATTGCTCCGGACGCTTCACCGACCACTCTCCGTGCTGTTGTCCAATCTGTCCAGCGACCTTCTCCCTCTCCTGTCCTCGCCTGCGTTCCTCAGCCCATTGACGCCGACGCCGCAGAACCCGCAGTCTAATGCCACGCAGCTGCACGCGCTGGGTCTCGCAGCGGTTGCAGGCGAACTGCTGGAAACATTTGATGGTCTGCGTCTCGGCCTCGAGACTGACATGAGGGGTGACGGGCTGAAGAACATTCGTGAGGGGCTTGTGTCCGTCGTCAAAAGGGTTGTCGACCCTCTTATGAACGGCATCAAGAACGAGTTGTTGCCGTTGGTGACAGCATTGGAAATGCCTGCGAATTCGCCACAGTCGACCAAGGGCACGAGGTCCCCGATCCCGCATCCGTCTATCATGACCATGCAGGGCCTGATGCCTGTGTACTCGCGTGCACTCGCTCGCTACGCCGTTGCGTCAATTGCTGAGAACACCCTTGCATCCCTCCTCATCTCACTCGTATGGCGTGGACTGGTTGCGCTGTCCAACCGCCCCGCGCCTCTTACCTCGCCTCCGGGCTCACCAGTTCTCTCCGGCAACAACACGGTCAAGCCCCAGGATAAGCGCAATGGATCGAAATTCACTCCACCCGCGACCCCTCCGTCCAGCAGGTTCACGCTCAAGCTTCCCCCTTCACGCCCTCCCACTCCGCCTGGCGCGGCTACCCCGCGTAGTGCAACGGTCGCAGCAGATGCGCGTGCCTTCTATGACCTTCTAGCCACGCTGCCACGCCCTGCAGCCGATAAGGAGAGCACACGCATCGCACGCGAGGCCGTCGACGAGGCGTTCGAGGCTCTAAGCGCGCTCACCGCGCTCCTCGAGGCCGTGCAGGCCTTCATGACGGCCGGCCGCGGTCGTGCAGGCAGCCCTGAACCAGCCAGCTTTGCCGAGCTTGCGGCGGACCTTGAGATACTCACTACCGACCTGCTCCTGATTGCGCTACCCGTCCTGCTCCGCGTGCTCGCACCGGCTACGGATCCCGCGCACGAGCATACGGTCGCAGAGATGCTGGGCCTATCAGACGACGAGTACCGCAAGGGCTGCTTGAGCGGGTTCGGGCGCGCGGAAGAGTGCGCGCTCGCGGTGGGCCAGCGTGTGCTCGACGTGCTCCGTGCGGACGCGCGTGCGGCTGAGTCTGCAGGCGCGAATGGCGCGCAGAAGGAGAATATGGGTCTGCTTTTGAAGTGGCTCGGGGCGCAGGTCGCGGTTGCGGCTGCCGCTGAGCATTGACTATCCGTTCGAAATAACGACGTAATTGCCCACAGTTGTCTTATAGTCGTATTTATGTCCATGTTCGTGCGTCGTTCGTTGTCCCTCAAGGTGATCATACACGGATTCACTCTTCTGCGCTGGTGTCTGGCTGAACTTGGTTGGTCTTTCTTCTGCATTGGCTGGCTGGATCGCGCTCCTTCAGGTACCCGTACTCTACCACCACACACGTATAACTTATTCAGTTTATCATCTCTTGATGGCGCTCGCCGTAGTCGCTTCTCTAGACGTAGACTGTTGTATTGTAGCGTTTCGTTGGTCGCAATGCTATGCCTTCGCTTCCTACCTGTGAGCATCGTGCATGCGTGACTGAAGCCGGTCATCTTACTGAAGGAGCACAGAGAGTGCGGTGAAGCGTGCGCATGAGAATCCAGTATACCCATTCTGTCGCAAGGAAAATACAAAATGTCACAATACAAATCGAACAAGATGAAGCAATCCACATGTGTATGAGTTTTGTATTTCTTATCGTCGCTGTCCATCCGTGAGGACATCACCGCCCCAGGCCGATCGTCGAACCCAAGGCGGTGACACAGTCTCGCTTTGCGCCAATGAAGTTTCCCCCACAGGCCCTCCAATCCCGAGCGACCGTGACAACTCGAGCCGAAGGTGTTGGCCGTCGCATGTAACTGCACACCGAGGCGGCCTCCCCGCCGCGCAGTGGTCTTGCTGTTCCGCCAGTGGAGTTTCCTCCATAGGCCCCGAAGGCCCGGACAACCACTCCGGACCCCAGGTATTGGCCGTCGCATATGACCACGCACCGAGCCGACCGACCCGGCACGCAGTAGTCTCGCCGTTTTGCCAAAGAGCTTTCGCTCAGAGGCCCCACAGACCCGGGCGACCAGTCCGGGGTGCAGGTCTTGGCCGTCGCATGTGACCGCGCAGAGAGGCGACCTCCCCATCGCACGGTGGTCTCGCTGTTTCGCCAGAGAGCTTTCGTTCAAAGGCCCCGCAGACCCGGGCAACCACGCCGGGGTGCAGGTGTTGGCCGTAGCTTCGCGCCCGAGGGCGACTTGCCGCGCATCCGAGGCGACCTCCAAGGCGCGCGGTGGTCTAGCTGTGTCGCCAGTGTCCTTTCGTACATAGGCCCTGCAGTCCCGGGCAACCACGCCGGGGTGCAGGTGTTGGCCGTCGAACATCAGTCGGAGAGTTGGCTGCTCTCCGACACCGTTCATCCTGTGGCGACCTCCACAAGGTGAGCGGTCTTCAACAGACGTGCCAGGTCTGTCGGGAGGGTGTCTTTCAGGACGATGTCAGCCGATGTGAGATGTACAAAGTCGAGAGCAGACATACCTTTGTGACTTGAAACGCTTGCGTCGATTGATCAGATCGGGCTTGCGCGTTGATGCTATATTGCGCAGGGTGAGTGACGCGTCATCCGAGAGTGTGGCAAGACTTACGTGTCAGTATCGTGTGAGGGTGTTGTCGATCGGAGAAGGTAATGAGCGGTAGCGACATACGTCTAGAAATCACAGACGGCGTGAGACCATTGCAACACGAGGTTGATCAAGGAGGCAGACGTACCCGAAAGCAAGTCGAAAGCGAG